AACAAACACAAATCACATAAGCAATATTAATTTGTATTCGGGTATTCCTACCTACCTAAAATTTTTATGATGTAAATTTTAATAGACATGAAGACATTAAAAACATTGAATGTACATACTACAAGTAATTTTATCTATGTTACTATTTTACTAAGTAAAAACGTAGTAAGGGAAATCATATTCAATAGTATATCCTACTAGTTTATTATCTAGGATCTCAGGTATGTAACATATTGCATTATTTTCTTAGTTTTAAAATGAGGTTAAATATTAAAAACTTAAATATTAATATTTTAAAATCAATTGATAAATACTATATATTTTTAAAATCACTTATAAGTATATTTATTATGGTTTTTTTGTGATTCTCACAATAAAAGAGACGGTTAATTTGCTATTTAATAGAAATATCTATGAAATTATCTATTTTTATTCATTTATTTTTYTAATTTGACTTTTACAGCCTTTTTATTTTGCAAGTCAAAACAGAGTTTACAAATGTTAAGTTTCCAATGATATAATATTAAGAATTCAATTCACTGTACTTTTCTTTTTTAATAACTGATTTTATTTTTCTATCGCTCAAAGTGTATGGTACATCACCTTTGTCAAATTATGAGTCAAATCATCCATTATTATCATAATAATATTATTATTATTTATAATGGATAGATWMTTAGACACAYTGTGATCTTTTTCTCATCTTAAGCATTATTGATAATATATTATGTATCTACCTAATCTTCAGATCGGACAAATGCATATTATGCATAATAACATTTAAATTACATAATATATAATACATTTGCATACAAAAACAAAACACAATCCTAATTATTATTTATTAATATAGTATTCTTTTATTTTGATTCTTTTTTTCTGGTTTTTATTTTTTTTTTTCCAAAAAAATGTCCATAAACAAAATGGTTTTTTGTTTTAAATTAATAACATTACACAAAATAATACATGTAAAGAAAACCTATTTCAATACACCATATAATCATGTATATTATAACACAATGTATTTGGTACAGGCAGTATAATATATACAAAAAAAAAACATAATGACTCGGTTTTGCTTAAAAAGTGCTACAAAGCTTGGCACAGTTAAAAAACTACCTAATATAAGTTACTTAAAAAAACTTAACATCATTAAAAAAAAAATTATTATTATTATTATTATTATGATAGTAAAAAGAAACATCTAAATATTTCTATTCATATCAGAGTTTTAAAAACCATAAAAATTACAATTAATGTAAATGTCTGTACATCAACAACAAAATATACATAAGAACATAAAAATTGAAAAATCAATATTATTACACAGTTTTGTCAATTAACAATAAATAATAATATAATGAGAAAAATGTATGTGAACACAATGGTTATTTTTTGATTTCCAGTCAAGTTGAATAAAAATTTATTATACTATTATAATAAAATATTATATTAATTTACTCCTTCAATAGATATTACATTTTTATGTTCATCAGACTATTACAACTAATAAATATATTTATATCATACATTATCATTGTATTTCGACATTATTCAGCTAAATTGCACGAGATAGAAAAAAAGAACTAATACAGCATTAAAATGTTCAATTAATTACAGAATAAAATGAGTAATTTGATTTTTCTATCTTTTCTCTTTTAAGGAAGACTCAACATTTAGTCAAAAAAATAGGGAGCTTATTTTTATTTCATTGTTTGCAAAAATGGTAAGAAACATTTTTAAGTATATTTACATAATATATATTATAATAGTATATACTTTATACATAAATTACCTACTGGCATACACATCAGGTACATATTAAAACTATGTGGTAACAAACTATATTATTTTTAACTAAACAATAATAGGTATAGTTAAATTTAAAAGTTTTACATATTTTTCAACCTGTATATTTGATACACATTGCTATTACAAATACTCTTAACTCTTAACATTAATTTGCATACTTGAAATATTTTAGATGCAATGAAAAATATTTGTCGGATGACACAACGTCGCACGCCAACATTAACAACAAAAATTCACTTAATAATAAATAATAAATCAATCTACCATCGTTTCTAAATATTAACATTCTTTTTCTCTTTTTTTTAAAAGCATATTAAAACTATATAATCGTTAAAGTGCATTTAAACATACATATACCATATCATATTATGTATGTTTATCATTATAATTTTTTTTAATAAGGTTAGTGTATAGTATTACAGAAATAAGGCACTTACTAATTTGTACTGAATTATTTTCTAGCCAGAGGGATTTAGGATATATTGTTCGTCAAACTATATATATATATATATATATATATATTTTTTTTTTAATTCATAATGTATTTGAAAACATAATACTTATTCTAAATTATCGTCTTATAATCATTAAGGTTTATTTATTTTTTTATTTTTTTACGTATATTTAAGTATTAGGAAATGTATAAATATTATCTTATACGTGATTGCTTTTTTTTTTAATTATTATTATTATTAATATTTGGTGCCATAATATATGTAATATATATGCAAATGTTTTCTTCTACATGTGATAATATTGAAACGGTGTAATTATTTTAAGCATAATTTCGTCCATTAACTATTTAATAGAATGTATTGAAAAAGCACRCATTTTCAAAATATTCCATTAATTAAACCTTGTTAAGAATGAAAAAAAACCTCAGAATTTATCAAGAACCATCTCAAAAGGTTATTGAGGCAGAATATCATGTTAGCTGGTTGCCAACGTTTCTTTTCGTACTCAACAGAAAATGTTTGAAAATTGTACAGGTTAACTAGTAAAATTATCTAAATATTGGAAAATCGAGTATTTAAATTGAGCTCCTTCATAACCATGCTCTAAATTTTTTTATTTTAAGTACACTATTTCTATTTTTCCTCTAATAATAATCAAATTTACTGCTGATGTTAATATAATTATTATAGAAAAAAAAACAAACAAAAAATTGGCACAGCAACTTTTAACATAAATAATTTAAAACGAATAACAAAAAAATTCAAATAAATAAAAATAATCCTAAACTAAAAATTCATAACAAAAAAGAAAAAATATATATATATACATAATATATATAGTATATATATATTAAGAAATTGTCAGAAAATTAAGAAAATCAAATTAACAATATTCTAAATTAGATAATTTACACAAGACAAGAGAAATCAACAACATAATATTGATAGACATAAAATAATAACAATAATGATAATTATTATTATTACTTTATGTATATTTAATATTTATACACATATATCATACTGTAGTACTGAATAAATATTATAAAAAGCTTGTATAATTTATACATATTTTTTTTTTTAGTTTTATTTTTTTAAAGGAGAGATCAATTGTCGGTGGTAGCAATATTAAATTAAATAATAATAATTAATAATAAGTAAACAGCCGGCTGCATTTATAATAATCAGTCGATGGATTCCGATTTGATCAACACTGAGGTGGCTGTGATGGTGGCAGTAGTAGTGGCCATGGTAGAGGACTGTAAATTATGAGGTGGAGGTGTTTTGGGCTGACATGGTGGTGAGGTTATCACGGACACTGGACTACACCTCTTGTTCATCAATGGCAAACTGTTGGATTTGCTATGTTCTTGATCAATACCACCACCATCTTCCCATTTGATCATCGTACAGTCGTCTACTAACAATGGATCTTCTTTGTTCGTATGCCTCTTCTGTAAGGAAATAAAATAATAATCACATATAAAATAATTTTTATAAGTAGGTATTCATCATACAGCACTAATGTAATAGCATAATATATTGAGCAATTAATTTTAATCAGTTTTGAGTTATAATTAATAACGAGCACGCACCATGTTCAATTGGTTTTTAAGTAATTCGTTCTCCCGGACGAGTTGTAGATTTTTTGATTCGACCTTTTCAAGACGCAAAGCGATTCGCTCAACCAATCCGATCACTTGCTGTCGCGTCGTCTCCTTGGCATCGCTCAATGCGTCTAAAACAGCGGCCACTTGCTCCATGACACTGGCGGCTGTAAAAATGACGATTGACGATTTTAACTAACTATTGATACAATTCTTAATACATAAAAATCTGAACAGATATGTTCAGCTACTCGATAGATTGATGGTTTACTCACCGACACTGTTATATCTCCTCTCAGACTCTTGGTTGGGAACGATGTCTTTATTTTCCTGTTCACCATCGTCTTTGAATTTGAATTTCACCTATGTAAAAGAGACCGAATATTATAATGGTATTATGATAAAACGAGAATCAAAAACACTATAAGAGGATATTCGTTTATGCCTACGCTCGTGGCATGACGACGTTTAGATACTAACCATCGGTTTGGCAGTGTTGTTGTTGTTATTGCTGCTGTTATTATTGTTGTTATTGTTATTGTTGTTATTGTTGTTGTTGATGTTGACACTGTTGGCATTTTGGTGGTGATGGTTATGGTGATGGCCCAAGAGATTGGTGGTATTAGCGTTGCCGTTGTGTTTGTTGGGCGGCGCCAGCGCGACGTTCGGTTGAAAACTCCTGCTGAACTGTTCGGACTGCGTGTGTGATATGACTTTTTGCGGGTCCACAAGCCTAGGCGGTCTCTCCCTCTTGATCAGACTGCGGATCGAAACAAAAAACAACATTAAATCAACAAAACGTTACATAAAATGCATATCTGGAAACAAAGAGCAAAAATGTGATATGTATCTAACCTGTCGTTCCTGTACAGCTGGTGATGCGAGTTATTCATGTACATGGCAGCGGGTGGTGGCACCCATGCACCGTAAAAATAGTGGAATGGGTCCACCATGTAGTTAGGTAGCGTGGGCGCTATGCCCAGAGCCGAGTAATAGGCCGCCGAGGGCACCACTGGCGGTGCGTCCTCGAGCTTGGTCCTCTTCAGTGACGGCGGTGGCGTCTCGGCCCTGGACTGACGGACTGTACACGAAATGGGCACCAGTTCCATCAACTGAGAGGGAAAAAAATACAAAGATTAGTCATCAAACGCAGATGTTGTTTACTGGTGATTTCTCTTATTTTATAAGTGTCGTTTGATTATTATATATTAATTATTATGATGGTATTAATGCTTATTGCGCGGGTAAAACGGTTCTTCGGCGGTCTTTTAAGTCATCGACAAAGAAACCTCAATGTACTGTTTATATAGGTAATATATAAATATACGCTATACCTAACGCTACTAGGAGATACCATTCACGTCGTTACAAGATGTCTCTTTAAACCTATGATATTTCAATGACTTAAACGACGATTTATACATTTACAAATTTAAGGRTATTTTCACAATAAATCTACAGTGTTTATTTAAATGCTGAGAAATACATATATTTTTTCAAAAATCTCTTTGAACCGTATATTAAATTATAATATATTTGTTGCTTCTACTCGGGACTATAGTTTTTACCGCAGTAGAGTAATTTGTCACGCGTATACAGGTATAGATGAACCACATTTATTTCAGATTATATCGATTCGGCAAGTACGTGCGCGGAGCAACGCACGAGCTGCAAAAGTCGCGGTTGCCAAAGAACACCTATATATTATTAAACAATTTAACTTTTGACGACCGCAGATCACGGTCTACGCGTCGGCTTTAGTGATAATAATAACATAATAATAYGAGTTTGGCAGATTTCTCTCGGGTAAGACGGGGAAACTTGGTAGCCGCAGAACTCGTTGTTGCCTTGCCTTGCCTAGRCACCGTGATCGTCAGAAGAGGAGATCGAGGCGACGTTGATGGTTAATTAGACACGATGCCTATTTTTATGATCAATTATTTTATTATATAGGTATATATATATATAATTTTTTTTTTAAAGCAAAATTCGCGTTCATTGCTCGTCATAATATATTTMTTTTGCCGTGTTACAGTGACCACGAAACACGCCGTCGTGTGCGCAATTAGTCGGGCCAGAATCGAATTGTGTTGATGCTCCATTATTATTATAATAGTTCTATCATAATATAATAAAAACGAAGATGGAGGCGAGTTTTTCCAACGTACCAATCTCAACGTTTTCGAGGTCGTCAGAATTACATTTATACATATATTATTATAATTTATAATACTAAAATCGCCATTAAAGAAAAACCTATCTATAGAAACTGCATGTGTAATAATTTTTTTTATTCCTAAATATTTTTCAGGTTAAAGTTCAAAAATATAAAAACATTTTGTAATACCTATATTATTCAGAAAATATAATATATAAACGCAAGTATTATCCTGGTTTGAGGTATGTATAATATTTATTTCAACGTGAACGTTTAAATCGATTGTTGTACGCACAAAGCACCCTTCTCCGTTCAAAGAATATATGTGACGCAGAATAAAATAATAATTTTGAAAAAAGAAATGTACGACCAAGATAACACAAAAAATGAGTATCAAATAAAAGTATAATAGTTTACAAATTCAGTAAAGGACTGGATTCATGCCGATAGACATGGATAGTGGATGCATCATATATTTACAGTTATTAAAATTATTCAAGAAAAAATGTCTATTTTTATACATAGAGTATATCATAAATTATGTGATAACAAATCAAATTGTTACATCGTAATTATATCGAAATTAAATAGGTATATAGGTGAATTTAAAATATTGAATCATCTTTTGATTTTAGACTATCATTAGGTATTCATTATTTTGCGCAATTCAAAGTTAATAAATTTACCTATAATACATAAGCAAATTAAAAATACAAGTACATTATATTATATTGTCATAGAATAGCCGAGAAACTTGTTTTTTTTTTTTATAATAATTCGTTGGTTTTGTATATGCGACAACATATAGATAGTATAGCGATACAGACTAATACAACGACGAAATCGCTTTAAGCCTTTATATAACATTATAATATGTTAATATAGAATTGATTTACAGGAAAATGAACGATAATATTGTCGTACATTCCGTTTGTTTTCCGATTGGATATTTTTATAGGTAGCCAGGTAGGTTATAGTATAATAATATACGTGTTTATAGTGTTTATACGTATCRTCAACATCTCATCGAAAACAGGTCAAACACTGCGGCGTCGACGGTCTGAGCGAGAAAATCGATTTCGGTGAAATACTCCGTCGTCGTATAGCGTGGTTGCGGCGACGGCATCACCACAAACTCGACTAGACTAAAGAGAGAAAAATTGGCTTGGCGGCGCGTTGAGGAATATAATCGATAAGGGGCGTGGTTTGGAGGGCGACACGCATTACACTACATGTCGCATATTAATAAAACTGTGTACAAGTACTACACTGGCACACAGTTCAAACACAAACGCGCATGTTTAAGGCGAAACGAAAAATAAAAAATTAGATAAAATTTATTTATTTTACTCGTAGATAATCAGGATAATCTAAGAGACTAAAAGTCAATTGGGTAGGCTAACAACGTAAGTAGAAGCGATTGAATTCGATAAGCTATACAAATGCCTGACGCCGGCCTCATCTCGCTCACTCCGTCTCCGYGGGTGCAAACCTATAGTATAGAATGTGCCGGTTAACGTGTCGGGTAGGTGGGGATAATATTTTTTATGACTCCGACATAAACCACTAATACCATACCTGGGTTGGATGAAAACCATTTTGATCGAGAAACTATGACATGTAACCTGCATGTACACTGCTGTACCAATAGGTACAAGTCACATGTTCAAGTGTGATAACTAACGCAGAAAAATGTTGACGCCTCTTGTATAATATTACACATAAAAATAAACACACTTATTTTCTTAAAAACACTCAAGCTAGCGAATAATAATATGTGATTATGATGATCGAAATCGAACCCCTGGGTAGCGTATTGATCCGTCTGGCGGTGACGTCACGTCCAGACATCCCTTGCAGACGGCGGCGACGACGAGAAGCTGCCGTGCGCTAGGCGAGGGTGCGCGGTTGCAACGGTCGACGGGGTGTATGTGTGTGTGTGTGGGTGTGTGTGCGGGAGACAAAGGGCAGTATATAGTCGTCGAGAGCGCGGGGGCGGAGGCGGRCTGCCAGATCGAACTCGAGCGCATCGCGTCTGGCGGCGCCCCGCAAAGTATACGTTTATATGGTGAGGAGCGTATATGATATAGTAATAAAATATATTATCATCATTATTATTATTATTATTATCATTTTATTGTCTAATATACACAGTGTGCGCGGGGAGATACAAGCGCGAAAAATATAATAAACAATGTATACGTTTGCGTGCGAGATGTGCTGAATATAATATAATATGTGCTGCGTGCAGTGTGTGGCGCGGAGATGACAGGGTGGATTCACTGCGGGATGCGCAAGACATGATATAATATATATAAGTGTACTTTTCAGAAAAGAACAAAAATCTCACATTATATCACCACCGACGGAGCGTCGAGCGATCCGCGTTCGGACAGTGCATGAAACGTGTAAACCATAAAATKTCAATGGGTTATTTCATTTATATATTAGTGTATATTACTATACATGATACGTAGTGTGTATAATACGCATATACGAACATGATACACTATATTATAAATTATGTATAAAAACCAAGCCRAAACTAAACGAGTATGCGTCTTCTGACGGGGAGGAAAAAAATACAAATCCATGTTAAATAGCGTCCCACGATGCACGTACGGCGTGTGATCGCCTGATACAGTATAGATCGTAACGACGATGATAAACATACACGTTGTATGCCTGCGATACAAAATAATTTTTATTGTTATATTGTTACCGCCGTTACCGTGCGGTCGTATACTAATAAATTTCGCCTTATTCACCAYCGGCATAGCTGGACATTTTTCTGGTGCCAGTATAAGTGCGACGAAGGTCGAGACCGGAGGTTTTACGTAGTGGAGGGATGKATGGTTAGTAATAGTAATAATAAAATAATTATATATGTGCTATATTATACGAGCATTTTAATTTTTTACGCGGAGTGTAGAGGCCATAAAAAGATATAAGTAATATATAAATAAATAAAAAATATATAATTTAATAGAGGTATGTTATGACTTTGTGTTTAAGACTATATCTACCTATTTGCGAAAAACAGCCAAAWTTTGTTAGTCAGTAGTTCCCCTCCTACCACATATAATATTTTCAAAAATGATATAATTTTGAATTGGAGCGCCTCCGACTTGGGACTATGATTTCCCATCTATTCGCATCGGTGGAAATACGACTTTTTTTCGAGTGCAGCTAGCCAAAGTCGGTAGTCACCTAACAATATTAWACGAATATACGATATCGCACTCACACTTACCTACGTACAACGCACCTTGACGGTTTTAATTTTGTTATGGCGTATGCATGTATGCGTGTGGATAGTATACGCGGCGGCCACATCGAGATTTTACAGTGAGATAACACACCATTACGCAGAACAAAGGATTTAGTTTTTTTTTCAATATTGTTTTTAGCAAACCGTTCACAACGAATTATTRAAATCTCTCTAAATACTTACACAGTTACACATAATACAGAGTGGAAAAAAGTATATACTTATCTCTTTKTCGTCGCAAACGAGTTTTTTTGGCGTCGGACGTAACACAATAATGTATTAAATCATGGTACCTATACAAGGTGAATAATTTAAATTTCTATACTTATTATTTCATGCAATAATAATAATGTAAACAATTTTTGTTGTGAAATTTATATTTTTTACAAGTTTTTATCACTATTATTTTAAAATTATTTTTAATATTTATAGCTATAATTAATTATAATTGTTTGAAATTTGATTTATAAGCAGCGAAGTACTCTGATAAATATTCTGTTTGGAGATATGTTATAACTTACTACCTATGCTGTATTAAAAAAAAATAATTAAAAAGTTCAAAATCATGATGACAACAATAACTGTAAAAAACGTTTTTTTTTTAAATTACATCAAATTATATTGAAATAGTATTTTCAAAAAAGTTATTGTAATTTTCATAATAATTAGTGTGAAAATATTTT